TCCCAAAAGGGCCACGGACGACCCAAAAGGCCCCCCCCCCGCAGGGTTTTTGCGACCTCGGTAAGCAAGGGGAGGGCGCGAAAACACTGACGGGGCCATTTCGGGTCATCTGGCGGCCATTTTGGAGCCGCCGATCAGCTGTTCGGCGGCTCCAAAATGGCCGCCGGCCGCCCCAATCGTCGCAAAGCGAGTGTGGCGATTGGGGCAGCTCCGTATAGCGATCCCCAAAAAGGGATCGCTATACAGATTCTTCGTTATACGGTGCGCTCGTTAAGCGAGTAAGGCAAATAGTTGAAAAAGTGGACATGCTGTAGTGTCCATGGCTTATGAAGCCAGACTAGCAATGAAGCAAAATAGAGTTTAGATTCCTCATGAGGCAGCATTGGCAAAGTTTTTTGCATTTCTTCCCCTCTCTGCAAATAAAAGACTGTCTGTCTCCTGAACTCCTATGTGCCTACATACCTCTTTTGTAGACTCCCAGTAGAAAAGTGTGAGGCAAGGTTTCAGTATGAACCTTGTGGCGCAGTGGTTAAACAGCTGTAGTGCAGCCAAAACTGTGCTCACGACCTGGGGTTGAATCGCAGGTAGCCATCCCAAGGTTGACTCAGCCTTCTATCCTTCTGAGGTTGGTAAAATGAGTACCCAGCTTGCTGGGGGGGCAATGTGTAGCCTGCATAAGTAACTTGTAAACCGCCCAGGGAGTGCTTGAAGCGCCACGGGTTGGTATATAAGCAGCATGCTTTGCTTTTGCTTTGCTTTATATCAGCAAAATAGGAGAGTATATTTTGGTAGCACACTGGATTCCCAGTGCAATGTAGTGGATAGAGCGATGGACTAGGATTCTGGAGAACAGGGTTTGAATCCCCACCTGGCCATGAAAACTCACTGGAGGAATGAAACTGGTAAAACCACTCTTTAAACATCTCACCTTGAAAAACCTATTGGAGTCACTATAAGTCCGTTCTGACTCGATGACACAGGGTACATTCTGTGCAAATCGAAGAGGAATGTGGTGTGACACATTTAAATATTCCTTGGTACAGTACTTTGTTCCATGGAGTATTAGAACTATTCTAAAAGTGTATTGCTTTGTCAGATCCCATCACAAGGGGAACCATAGCTGGAAGTCCATGTCATTTTCAATAGAAAAACTTCAGAGGGGAGAAGTACAATATTGCTCCTTCCCCTATTCATTCTCCATTTAAGACACAACTTCTGCTCTCATATGTAGTTTGGCTGCATGTCCAAGGTACATGGTGTCTTAAATTACTATTTTATTTCAAAATAGAATTACTGCTTCCTTACCTGTTAGCACTGAAAGCTTGAAGATGGCTTATAGTGCCCATTAAAAACATTAATTTAATGTGAAGTCTGGTATTTGAGTGGTTACAAAATGTAATTATTTTCCAACTAACTATACTGCTAATCTGATAAACCTGTGTTTGTTTGTTTCTCTCATAGCTTGCAGAAAACTTTAGGTTTGGATTCTCTGAATGATGTGCTGGACACTAAATTTGTGAATCCAAAGCATATAATTCAAAATGTGTATAATGTCAACAAGCAGGGGGTTGTCATTTTGGAAGATAAATCAGGTAAGGTGACCTGCTTTTTAAAGAATCTATACTTTAGCTAAAGATACAGACTTTTTTTGGTCAATGGAAGGAGTTGTGGGAGGCAATGGCCAAAATCCTTTTGTGAAGTTATGCAAAAGATGTAACTTTTTGCAACAATTGCTGGCAGTTAAGAGATCTCTTTAGACATTGTTACATGTGGAGTCAACATTCAGTGTGCAATAGATGATGTGCATAGAGATTTCTTAACTTGTGGCAGTTCACTTCCATAAGTTTTGTGTACTGGCACAACAGGATTTCAGTCAACGTATGTAAATCATTAAGGAATTATCTTGGGAATGTATAACATTATTTACATTTATGTATATGTCATTCCTACTTCCATCACCATGTGTTACATTCTGGAAGAATGGAGTCTGAGGCCAAAGGCGCCTGGAGAAAGTTCTGCAGTTATCATGAATCCAGAGGGCAGAGCAGGGACTGATTGATAATAATGGTGGGTGAACTAAGACAAAAGCCTGAATAAATGAAACACATTGACCATCTTTAAATGTGCAAGTGTGTGCACTACTGTATCTGTTCTATGGAGATGTTTTCCACCCTCTCAGCCATATGTAATGTGGTTCTTAATGCAGCAGTTGGTCTAATTGTCTAAAAAGAAGAAGCGATCATTCTTGTCCACTGAGGAAGATGCAGTCCATTTTCTAGCTCAGAAATGCAAGAATATGAAATGTGTGGTTCTTCAGTTGTTTGATTTTATCTCTCATCATCCCTCACCACAGGCCATGTGGCTAAAGCTGATTGAAGCTGCAGTCCAACATTATCTAGGTGGCATACATTCCCCACTATCCTTATACAGTGGTACCTCGCAAAACGGAGTCCAACATTATCTAGGTGGCATACATTCTCCACCATCATTATACCAGGAACCTTTCTGAAATATCTTGTTATTACAAGTTGGTGCCATATTCTGGTGCAATATCTTCTGTATGGGCAATTCAAATGCTCCTTTGGTTTTTGCCTTAAAAAGACATTTCTCTACTATATAACTACTGGTGATACCTTTAACATTATTTTTTAAAGTATTCTTTATTAAATGCAGAAGAACTTCCTCACTGGGTGCTGTCAGCAATGAAGTGCTTGGCAAATTGTAAGTATCAGTTTGATTTCAGTGAAGTGGAGAATACATTCCCTCCTTTTTCTATTTCTTTACAAAGTATGTTGCCTAACACAGTATGATTCCTTTCCTATATGTTCGGTGACCTTAGAAGGCTTAGGTTATATGACAAAAGTGTCAATAATTCAGTAAGGATGGTTTTAAAGCAACATACGTGTGACTTTTCCAAATTTACATGTATGTTTTTCGTATGGGACCTAGTAAATATTGAAATAAAACTTGCAGAAAATTAACAAGCTTTGGCATTGCCTGGAATTGTTGGAATAACGAAGACGTTTGTAATGAGATACATATAATTACAAAATATAAAATATATTTTATATTGTTTTATTATATATGTTGGAAGCCGCCCAGAGTAGTCATTCGATTAGATGGGCAGGCTATAAATGCGATAGATAGACAGACAGACAGACAGACAGACAGACAGACAGACAGACAGAGATAGATAGATAGATAGATAGATAGATAGATAGATAGATAGATAGATAGATAGATAGATAGATAGATAGATAGATAGATAGATAGATAGATAGATAATTTGGAAATGCTTGTCACTGATTGTTTGGTTTAATTCTGAGATTAATCCTTGACTGGGATAATGTCAGCTATGACAAATCATAGGCTTCTGTTCTTTGCCTGGGTGGTTTACAAACCTCTGTAAGACTCCTAGAATGCTAGTCTAAAATGGGACATTCATTTTTTCCATCCCTAGTGTGTTCAGAGATCAAAATGCTAAGGGAGCTAACTGCAAAAGATTGGGACAAAACTGGGTTATGGTATTGTCCAAACCCAACTCAGCAGTTCCCTGATGTCTGCAGGCCCAGTCTCTCCTCCTTCCTTCACTACAATATGCCAGTTGGCCCTTCTGTTGTTATCTTGATGGAAGAAGAAGAGATGTGGATGAAGTCCCGTCTTTCTGCCCATGAAAGTTGGGATTTAAGGGTTGAGTTGAAGGGATGGGGATTGGAACTTCTCACCAATTGACTGACTTCACTCTTCAAGGAATACTGGGTTTGGACCAGAAATTTATTGCTGTGTTGCAGGGAGCGATTAGGGCTGAAACTATGTTTGTAGTGTAAACTAAATTATAACTTCCCATCTGTTCCTCCCTGGTAAACAAAGTGTCCCTGACATGATTCTCAAGGGTGTGGCATATGGGCTTTTGTGTGTGTGTGTGTGTGTGTGTGTGCGTGCGTGCGTGCGTGTGTGTGTGCGCGCGCATGTCTTTCCCTAAGAATAGTGGCAGGGATGTTTTGTTTATGAGGGAGGGACAGACTGAAAATTACAATTTGATTTATGCTATTTTTCAGCTTGCATTTCAGAGGTGCTTTCAAATGGATAATACTGTGGGAGTATTCTGAAGAAATCATCTCAATGAGAGACCTGTGCCACAAGAAAGCTGAATATGTGAATGGCACACTTTAAAATGATGGAATCGTTGTTGTTGTTTTTAAAAGGGTCTGGGAAAGGGTCTGGTATGTAAAAGTAGGAATATTTGAAAAACAGCACAATGGGTCATGAAGTTCTTGTGATTCCTTGCTTGCCAAAATTTGTTCTTGATTTTATATGCTGGGTATGAAAGGCACTCAGTGTTGTTTTTTAAAAAACTAGAAAAGTGGTGATGTTTCTGCAACTGGCATATAAAATTGAATTCTTTCTTTATCTCCAACTCCACCCCTTCCTTCATTAGGGCCCACGTGTCCAGATATGAAACAACCAACTTATTCAGGCTTTGAAAGAGATGTCTTTAGAACCATAGTGGATTATTATGGACACATGAAAGAGCCTCTTCTTACTTTCCAGTTCTTTGATCTATTTGTTAGTGTGTTAGGTAAGTCACCCTGTGTTATAGTATCTGGTACAATCAACTATGCTGCATGGCTGAAGGTGAATGAAGCTGATAGGATTAAGTTTATTTATCCCATTAGGAAAACAGGATAGGTGTCTGTCCCCATAGCACAGGGATTTTCAAGCTGCCTGTAACTGCCACAGGATTCCTTAGGAAGTCAGGCATAAAGAAGGTGGTTGGTACCGGTAAACGTGGCCAGTTTATTCAGAGGGATTATGTCATTGAAAAAGGTAGTACACATTTTTCTATATTTCTGATATAAGATACTTGATTTATTTTGTTGCATTTTGTACGGTAGGACCACTGATAAATAAACCACTGAGAAATATAAATCACATTTAAATCTATATAAACAACTCTGTTCTTGTTTGGAGCACAGATATGTGTCATGTTTCAAGGTACATATTCATGTTAATGCTATCAGTCTGCAAGAAACAATAAATTCAGAGGGCAATAATAAGCAAATCATCTTCAGAGAAAAATTAGCGAAAACTCTCCATTAATGGGCTCTCGAGCAAGCTGTGCCCGTATTCTGTATTGGCCAAACTATTTTGTAAATTAAAACATAGTTCCAATTGCATCTCATTTTAATTTCATTTTGTTTATGGCTTATCTTGTTTTCCTTTGCCAGAAGCCAAAAGCAGCTAATAACAGAATTAAAACCTACACGCACACTGAGACAAAATATAATGATTATCAAAATCCCACAATGCCACAGTGTATTTCAGCTGATGGCTCTTCAGTTTGGTGAATGGATCTGTAGGCAGGATGTTCTGTCAGCATAATTAAGCTGAACACATAAGGAGAAGAGAAGAGAGCTGCCCACTGTCACTTTCCAACTGCCAAGGATCACAAGACAGGGAAGAAGCTACCTCACTTCTGCTCTTCACACATTCACATTAACTATTTTACTGAATGCCCAAATAGGACTTCTATCATGGCTGAGGCATATCTGCTTTTCCACCTGTGTGGCAGGGCCTCCGTCACACCTGACAGTCCCCTCAACCAGTTTAGCTCCGTGACATGATAGCCTACTGTATAAACCCAGACAATATATCTGTTCTTTTAGTGTGGTTTCCCAGAAACCCTGGTGACAAATATCAAAAGATGTAGCTGCTAGAAATAAATAGACCATCATTAAAAAGCACGTCGTAACCTTTTGTTGGTGATTAGCAGATTTGAACTATTATTTTATTTATTTATTATTGGATTTATATCTTGCCCTTCTAGACTGGAGTCTACTCAGGGCGGCTCACAATACACTGTAAACAAACAGACAAAAACAACAATTAAAATCTACAATCATATGATCAAAATGGGCGGATAAACAACAAAACCAAGAAAAGTATAATCAAGAATTGGCGGGAGGGAAGGCCTGCCTAAAGAGCCACGTTTTTAGTTGACTCTTAAAAACACCCAGCGAGGGTGCCAGGCAGATCTCTGGTGGCAAGCTGTTCCAAAGTTGAGGGGCCACCACCAAGAAGGCCCGGTTTCTTGTTTTTTCTTTTCAGGCCTCTCTCGGCATCAGGCCCCTCAGCCATCTTTCTTGGCTATGGCAAGTGACTCAAGAGATCTAGGTGGGAGAAGGCGTTCTGCTAGATATCGAGGTCCTAAATTGTTTAGGGTTTTATAAGTCATAATTAATACTTTGAAATCAGTGTGGAAACAAATGGGCAGCCAATGCAAAGCAGCCAGAATGGGAGAGATATACTGGAATTTTCTCGCACCACTAAGTAATCTGGCTGCTGCATTCTGCACCATTTGAAGCTTCTGCATCAATCTCAAAGGTAGCCCCACGTAGAGCACATTACAGTGGTCTAATCTCAATATTACAAGCACATGGACCAGAGTGGTGAGGTCCCCTCCATCAAGATAGGGACGCAGCTGGACAATCCGTCACAGATGGTAATTGGTGGAGCGGACCACTGACGCCACCTGGGTTTCCATGGTGAGCGC